AGCACACGCCACCGGACGGAACCGAGTCGATGCCACGAGGACCGCGGACGCAGGAGCCGGGCGTCGCCGCAAACCGGCGGCCTGGCATGGCAACCGCGTGGTGGCCACCTGTCGCGCCCACGCCACGTCTAACTCGCGGAAAGAACAGGGGCGTAGCATTTGGTCAGCTTCGGGCCGGCTGACCTTACCCAACCACTTCCGACCCCTTTTCCGGCGGTGGCATCGCTGTAAAACTTAGTTTTTAGGATTTCGCAGCTGACTCTTTCCCCGGGACTGGCGAGGAATCGGCAGTGCTACAGAGGAGACAGCCGCGTTTCAATCGTGCTAGGACTTGTGCATGAATGTGATTGCCGAAACACATTGGTGATTGTAGTTTTCTCTGTCTGTTAGTGCCACTGTTTAGGTGCTGGTTTTCATTATTGCGAGACTGTGACGTTACATCCTGCCTTTTTGCTGGGACGTTACCAATCCTTTCTGGCAGTCCTTGTTCTCGTTGAAAAGCATGTTTCACATTTGAAGATATTGAAGCAAGCATCAGATATGATGAAACAAGCTCACTTATAGCTATTGGTATGCATTTTAAGTGGAAAAGACTGCTCTAGACAGCACAATTTTCTGCTTGGTAAATATGCTCTTCAACGCATCATGACCTTATTACGTCATCGTACCTAACACAAAGTTGATTGAGGGCCAGATGGAGGCCGTTGTGTCTGTAAATGCCGCTCACGAACGCCAGGTGTGAACGCCTCGACAATTATATCTTTCTTGGCATTGATCGCCGCATGGCTTATGAAATGGTCGGATTTAAATGGCGTTATTATGGCGTCATGAATACCAAGATGGGTTTAAAATAATCTCCCCGGTATGCCTTTCCACATTTTCGTGGGCATGTAGCTATTAACTGGATCTTTTACCCCCGTTTTTTTGTAGCACTTGTCAAAAACAATAGGGGGGGGGGCAAAACCAACATTGGGGGCAGACTCAATATTGGGGGGAGGGGGCAGGGCCCTAAAAACATACAAATCGACACCCGTGCAAACATGAAGCTATTATGTCATGAATTCGATAAAACGTCCCTCTATGGTTTTGATTTCACCGCTATGGCGTTTACAATGACGCTGTTTTCGAGACGCATTACGGCTTTGGGAATGAGAGTTTCACATGATCCATGTGACACTCTGTTTAAAACTCCAACCAGTGTGCTTCTCGGCGAAGGCCTTTGCCCGCTGGGCCAATCACAAACTTTCTTTTGATCACACCAGTGGAGGTGCGCACAGTGTTGTCAGGACGACGGTGGCCGCGACCGCAGGGAGGAGGCGTATTATTGCTACAAAGCGCTGACAGCGTAATTCGGTTTCAAAAGAACCAAAATTGAGTATGTCTTATATCTTGATGGAGTTGCAGTGACACCACCCATTGCTTTTATTACACGAAACTAATCCTGAGGTCTAATTTGAGTAGGTTTTAAAAATATGTGCCGAAGATGGGATACCCTTTTACCATACGCCCTGGTCGCCGGTTGGATACCCTTTGCTCGGGTGGGGCAAAGGGTATCCTATATCATAGGTTAATATATCCTAGGTTAAATACCTATATATCATAGGTACCTAATATATCATACCTAATATATCATAGGTTATATATATATATATATATATATATATCATAGATACCTAATATATCATAGGTTAAACATGGTCAAATTCCGGATTGGTCTCCAAAGAGCCCTTAGAACCTAAGCAACTGTTCTAAGCAAAATGTCACACACTCAGATGAGGTTAGTGACCTTGTTTGACCTTTTAAAGGTCAAACAAGGCCACTTATTAAGCTCTGTTTGAGTTTTGCATTGGATAAGCGACAAAGACTAGCTAGGCAGTATGCTCCTAAAAACAAAACATTGGCCTTGGTCACTTTAGGTCAGTAGCCTATTCTGTCCTATAA